ACACCTTCAGCCTTGGCTCCGGTTCTGTCTCTTGGCGGTCTACCCGCTCGTCTTCTGTTCTCAGCTCCAGTTGTGAGGCTGAGATCTACGCTGGGGCCATGGCTGCACAGGAGTTACGCTGGCTCACCTACCTGCTGACCGACTTGGGAGAGGCGCCTCGTTCTCCTCCGGTTCTGTACGTCGACAACAAGGCCATGCTTGCCTTGTGTCAGGAGCACAGACTGGAGCACAGAACGAAGCACATTGCTCTGCGCTACTTCCTTGCTCGAGAGTTGCAGCAGCGTGGTCAGCTTCGTCTTGCTTACGTGGCCACTCAGGCCAACACTGCTGATATCTTTACCAAGGCACTTCAGCCTTGTGATCATCAGCGCTTTTGTACTATGCTAGGTCTTGTGCCTACTTGGCCTCACTTGCTGACTTCTTGACTCTGCTTGTACTGTGATCTCTATAGATATACCTGCATGCTTACACTTGCTAGGTTGTGTTCACTGTATTATTTGTTCTCCTTTATATAACTCTGCATGTGAACTGGCCTTGTGGGCATTTACTTGTGCTCAGAATGCGTGGTGACGTCGTGATCCACCCTGAGCTTGCTTTGCCTTTCTTGACTGGTCTTGTGACCTCTTGTTCTCCCCCACTTTGCCTATGGGGGTGTGTCAAACTTATATGCTATAGTCTATCTAGGCTGTAGTGGGGTAGTTCATATAGGGTACAATACTTTTAGGTTTCCTACTTGTACCCACCTCCTTGCTTATTCAGTCATTCATTCCTTCACTATTCTGACACAAGACGCCATCTCTGACTCCATGGCTGCTATCCACTAAGTGGTCCACTGCCCTGACACTGCCTCACAGTACGTGCGAGGAGTCGGTATGTCAAGGGCGTCGGGGTCTCCCTCAGGGGCTAACAGCATGGCACAGAGATGGGGAGAACCAGATGCCAAGAACTCTAGCTCAAACTGCCTGTCCTCTGGGACGTCACAGCCAAAGGCACACTCACCCCCGACGGACAGAGGACGGGCAGGCACCACTCGGGTGGCGTAGTCAAGGCGGCGGGTGGCGGCAAAGTCAGCGACAGCAGCAATAAGAGCCAAGATAGACGACGGAGAGGTACGAGGGTCCGTGACTAGAGAGGCGAGAACACGAGTGAGAACAGGACGGGTGGCACGGTAGTAGTCAGTGATAGGGGTAGCGGTAGAGGCTGTAAGAGATGACACAGGAGGTGACGGGAGAACAGACTAAGGCGGAGAATGACGAGGACTCGAACGAAGTAAGACAGTGCGGAGGTCATCAAAAGGAGACGAGGGACGTGCACGAGCGGGAAAACGAACTGTCCAGTCGTGCGGGACAACAGGAGACGACTGTGACCAAGGAGGAGAGAAAACAGCCGGAGACGAGTCCGGAGGGGGAAACGTAGGACCGTAAATAGGAGACAGTGATCGGTCTGGAGGAGGGGAAGGAAGACCAAGGGCCCGAAGGCCACTCACAGGTGGAGGCAGCGGCCGCAAAGGCGGTGGCTGTTGCGGCTGCTGCTGCCGCCGCTGCTGCTCCTGGCGCTGCTGCTCCTCCTACTGCTACTGCTCTTACTGCTGCCACTCCAGCCCCAGCCGCTCCTGCTGTTACCGCTCCTGCTCCTTGCGCTCCAGCTGACGAAGCCTCTGGAAACTCGTGTGGTAGCGGTGGGGAGGTGGGGCAGGCGCCGCAGCAGCAGTGCCTCCAGCTCCAGTCTCCTCGGAACTAGAACTTCCAGCTCCAGCACCCCCAAAACTAGTGTCCACAGCACGAGCACCCCCGGAACTAACATTGCGAGTGCTAGCACTCTCGGCGCGAGTACCTCCGAAACTAACACCTCCAGCACCAGTACCCTCAGCTCCAGCACCCTCTGAACTAGCACCTCCAGCGCCAACACCCTCAGCCCCAACACCAACAGAACCAGCACCTCCAGCGCCAGGACCCTCAGCTCCAGCACCCTCAGAACTAGCACCTCCAGTGCCCGTGCCCCCAACAACAACACCCCCAGAGTCGACTGCAGCCTGCCGCTGTAGTGCCTAAGGCTGCCGCGGTGACTGTGAGGACGACTGTGGGGAAGGAGACGGTACGTGACGTGCTACCGAGTGGAGAGGGGTAGCGTGTGACACACCAGACAGGGCAGGACCAGGGGGGGACGGGTGTACTGAAGGGGCGGGAGCAGGAGGAGGAGAGGGGGCGAGGAAAAGGGGAAGGGGGGGAACCGGGAGACCTCGACAAGGGTACTCGGTGTAGTAGGACACAGAATCCTCAAACCGGACGTCACGAGAGTCAAAGAACCGGTGGAGGGGCAGGTGGTAAAAAATGTAGTCAGAGGAGTCCACCGGAAAACCAAGGAAGACACAGGGGATGGCGCGAGCCGAGAGCTTGTCCACAGAGGTATCGCGGACAAGTGCAAGGCAGCCCCAGACACGAAACTCCGACGCAACACCAGGGGACCTGGTCCAAAGACTGGTCGGTGAAGCCTCTGGCCGAGAGACTCAAGGCCAGAGGTTCAGCTGGTGGGCGGCGTAGCGAACCGCGTAGGGCCATAGAAAACGGGGCGCACGGGCATGGATCATGGAGGTGCGGGCTATCTCCATGACCCAGCCAATGCGGCGCTCAGCAACCCCATTCTGCTGTGGGGACTCTGGAAGCGTCTAGGACTGGGTGATGCCCTGCTCGCGACAAAATCCGGCAAGAATGCCGGAGCGAAACTCACCCCCACGGTCGGAGTGAAGACAACTGACACGACAACTACGAGTGGTCTCAGTGGCCAGCAACCACCTGATCAGCGTAGAAGTCACGTTGGACTTCTTCGCCAAGGGGAACACGGTGGTGTAGCGGGAGTAGTCGTCAACGACCACCAGAATGAAGCTCTCCCTCTCGGGTCCAGGGCGAGGGGCAGGGACCCAGACGTCCAAGTGGAGAGTCTGGAAGGGAACGGTGGCCGGACGAAGGGAGGAGGAGTGAGGAGTGGCCCGCAACCGACCCTCGACGCAATGAGTGCACGACGACGCAGGCGAAGGAGGGAGCGACGACAAGACGCATGGTAGAACTAAGACAAGACGCTAGCCATGCCGCGGAGGCGTGGGAGGGACGGGTTGTCAAATTACATTTGTATGTGTAGACTGTAGTGGGGTAGCTTCTACTGAGTGCAACACTTTAGGTCAAACCTAGTACTTGTACTCATCCTTGCTTGCTAGTCATCATCCCTGCACAGTTCTCTCAATATGGTTTCAGAGCAGGTCCATCTGTAGGACCACTCGTTTAGGGCCCACCGTTAGTTCCGTTCTGCCCATTTTTCCTGCCCGAATCGCGCCCCTAGGCAGGCCGTTTTTCCCGCCCGAATCGCGCCCCTAGGCAGGCCGTTTTTCCTCCCCGAATCGCGCCCCTAGGCTGGCCGTTTTTCCTGCCCGAATCGCGCCCCTAGGCAAGCTGTTTTTCTTGCTCGAATCGCGCCCCTAGGCAGGCCGTTTTTCTGCCCCGAATCGCGCCCCTAGGCTGGCCGTTTTTCCTGCCCGAATCTTGCCCATAGGAAGGCCGTTTTTCCTACCCGAATCGTGCCCCTAGGCAGGCCGTTTTTCCTGCCCGAAACGCGCCCCTAGGCTGGCCGTTTTTCCTGCCCGAATCGCGCCCCTAGGCTGGCCGTTTTTCCTGCCCGAATTGCGCCCATAGGCAGGCCGTTTTTCCTACCCGAATCGCGCCCCAAGGCAGGCCGTTTTTCCTGCCCGAATCGCGCCCCTAGCCAGGCCGGTTTTCCTACCCGAATCGCGCCCCTAGGCAGGCCGTTTTTCCTGCCCGAATCGCGCCCCTAGGCTGGCCGTTTTTCCTGCCTGAATCGCGCCCCTAGGAAGGTCGTTTTTCCTACTCGAATCGCGCCCCTGCTGCTGCCGCTCCAGCCCCTGTTACTGCAGCTACAGCCCTACTGGTGCAGCTACAGCCCTTGCTGCTGCCGCTACATCCCTTGCTGCTGCCGCTACAGCCCCTGCTGCTGCCGCCCCAGCCCCTTCTACTGCAGCTACAGCCCTGCTGGTGCAGCTACAGCCCTTGCTGCTGCCGCTACAGCCCTTGCTGCTGCCACTACAGCCCCTGCTGCTGCCGCTCCAGCCCCTGTTACTGCAGCCACAGCCCTGCTGGTGCAGCTACAGCCCTTGCTGCTGCTGCTACAGCCCTTGCTGCTGCCGCTACAGCCCTTGCTGCTGCCGCTACAACCCCTGCTGCTGCCGCCCCAGCCCCTTCTACCGCAGGTACAGCCCTGCTGCTGCAGCTACAGCCCTTGCTGCTGCTGCTACAGCCCTTGTTGCTGCCGCTACAGCCCCTGCTGCTGCCGCTACAGCCCCTGCTGCTGCCGCCCCAGCCCCTTCTACTGCAGCTACAGCCCTGCTGCTGCAGCTACAGCCCTTGCTGCTGCTGCTACAGCCCTTGCTGCTGCCGCTACAGCCCCTGCTGCTGCCGCTCCAGCCCCTGTTACTGCAGGTACAGCCCTGCTGGTGCAGCTACAGCCCTTGCTGCTGCCGCCACAGCCCTTGCTGCTACCACTACAGCCCTTGCTGCTGCCACTACAGCCCTTGCTGCTGCCGCTACAGCCCTTGCTGCTACCTGCTTCTGCTGCATGCACTGCTACTGCTGCTAAGCGCTGCTGCTGCTGCTCAGCGTGCTGCTGCCACTGCTGCATGCGCTGCTGCTGCTACCACTGCTGCTGCTGCCACTGCTGCATGCTCTGCTTCTCCTGCTATGTGCTGCTACTTACTGCAGTTGCTGCTACTTGCTGCAACAGTCGCTCCTTACTGCTGCTGCTCTCTACCGCCACTGCTGCTGCAACTCCTCTTGCTGCTCCTGCTGTGCGCCTTGCAACTCCTGCTCCTGCTCCTGCTCTTGCAACTCCTCTTGCTGCTCCCACAGAACAACCCCCCCCCCCCCCTCCCGACTCTCTTCATCCTTTCCTTGCTCTATTTGCTTGAGTTTCTTGAATGAGAGACTACCTTTTCTCAGCCGCAAATTCTTCTCCTCCGCCAAGAACTCTCACCTCTCCACATCCTCCATCGCGTTTTCCTCCCATCCCGCCATCGCCTCACCCTCTCGCCCCTCCATTGCCTCTCGCTCTCACCCCTTCGTCACCTCTCCCTCCTATCCCGCCGTCGCCTCTCACTCCCATACCGTCGTCGCCTCCCTCTTAGCCCGCCATCGCCTTCCCCTCCTATCCCGCCATTACCTTCCCCTCCCATCCCGCCGTCGCCTCCCCCTGCTACCCCGCTGTCGCCTTCCCTTCTCATCCGCCGTCGCCTCTCCCTCCCACCTCGCCGCCGCCTCTTCCTCCCCTCCCGTCGCCGCCTCCCCCTCCCGTCCGGTCGCCGCCTCTCCCTCCCATCCCGTCGCCGCCTCCCCCTCCCGTCCGGTCACCGCCTCTCCCTCCCGTCCCGTCGCCGCCTCTCCCTCCCGTCCCGTCGCCGCCTCTCCCTCCCGTCCCGTCGCCGCCTCTCCGTCCCGTCTCGTGGCCGCCTCTCCCTCCCGTCCCGTCGCTGCCTCTCCCTCCCGTCCCGTCGCCGCCTCTCCCTCCCGTCCCGTCGCCGCCTCTCCCTCCCGTCCCGTCGCCGCCTCTCCCTCCCTTCCCGTCGCCGCCTCTCCCTCCCTTCTCGTCGCTGCCTCTCCCTCCCGTCCCGTCGCCGCCTCTCCCTCCCGTCCCGTCGCCGCCTCTCCCTCCCGTCCCGTCGCCGCCTCTCCCTCCCCTCCCGTCGCCGCTCTCCCTCCCCTCCCGTCGCCGCCTCTCCCTCCCATCCCGTCGCCGCCTCTCCCTCCCATCCCGTCGCCGCCTCTCCCTCCCAACCCGTCGTCGCCTCTGGCAACAGGTCACGAGAGGGTGCACGAGGGGGAACTGGTGCGCGAGCGCGGGTTCGCCTCTGAGGCACCATGATTTGCAGGTGCGTGTACCTCTCCCCCCTCTGAAATCCCCTTTTTTTCCTACATGATTCGTAGTGTCTTCATGCCGAATCGTCTCCCATTTATTGCACTACCATCAGAAGAGGTGGAGATAGGGAGCGCGAGGGAGAGCGTACGCGAGGGAGCGAGCACGCAGGAGAGTGCGCGTGAAGGAGCGAAGGAAGAGCTGGAGGGAGAGGCGGTAGAGAGAGCGCCTTGCACGCTTGCGCCTTCGGCGCGGGCGCCGTTGGCGCTTGTGCCTTAGGCGCTTGCGCTTAGCATGCTGGTCCCGTGGGTGCTGGCGCCTAAGGCGCTTGCACCTAGGGCGCAGGCGCCATCGCCGCTTGCGCCTAAAGGGACAAGCTATCTATGATTTGTACATGGCTGAACAGAACCTCATTGGTTATGCTTGCATGTTTATTAGCTGTATGTTTCTTCGTTTGTTTGTTTGTGCGCGTATGTGTGTGAGCCTGTACGTGTGTGCGTGTACATTATGAAGTGTTGTTTGTGTCTGTTTCGGGGTGAGTGCTAAGTGCCCCATGTATGCAATTGCAGTTGTGATCGTTGGTGGGGCGGGCAGCTTTGCTTGCCTCTTCCATACCAGATCAATCGCAGCTGCATCAACAATGCATTCTAGCATTAGCTTCGGAGCATTCACAACTGGGGTTTATCGTTTTTGTACAAGTTTGTGTGCTGTCCTTTGTGACTGTTTTGGCGTGTGGTGCTAAGTGCCCCGTGTATGCAACAGAGGTTGTCATCGTCGGTGGGGCAGCTTTGCTAGCCTTTTCCGTACCATATCAATCTCGGTTGCAGCATTGATGCATGTAGTATTCGCCTCGAAATATGCATTGAGGTTTTTATGCACGTACGGTAAGGGCATGTGGTACCATAATTTGTGTACCGGTGTTTTTGAATGGTAGAAGTGTGGTCTTTTCTGTTTGTGTGTCTTAGGGGGTGTTGATATTTGGGCTCAAGTTATTGTCCAACCAATTTTCCCATTCGCCGTACTTATCGACGATTATGGGATTATTGGGTATGTTTGGTTTCACAATTTCGGGGAACTTAAATAGTTGAACAGTGATTTTTTTTCCCAAACTGTCAGGAAAAATAACTGTTCACGGTCAGTTCCCCAAAAAGTGAAGCCAAATGTATAAGGTTGCTACGCAACCCAAAAAGTGGCATGCACTGGTGAAGCGACGAAGAGTGGCATGCACTCGCCAATGGCCCACCTACAGAAGCTTGGCGATGACCCATTGGTTCGTCGCGCGGAGAGGCGAAGCCAGTGCGAGCCTCGCGGCGAATGCTTGTGCGGCTTTTTGCCATACAGTTGGCCCCCTTGCAATACCCTGATTGCCAGTGTCATGGAAACTACATTGCAGTTATTAGACAATACGAAGGAAAGTCTAGTGTCATGTCATTATCTACTTCCACAAATGCAAACTTGGCAGCAGCTTGTAGAACAGGTTAATAGCATAACCTATATATCAGATTAATATAGGTCAATAATAACAGTCGTAATATGACGTCACATCATGCCCATCCTTGCTCTCCTCTCCTCCTCCCTTTCCTTCTTGTACTGCGTGCGTTGCCGATGCTTCCGCACACACACCACCACGAGGCAGTACCCAAGCAGCAGTAACGGCAGCGTAATTGCCACAGTTAAGCACGTAACAGTAGCGATCTGCTCGGGAGTAAGTGTAGAAGGTGGGGGAACAGGTGGAGCAGGAGGGAGAATTGCAGGAGGGCTAACAAGACCACTCCAACCACCGGGTGGGAGGATGATAGAGGGAGAACCCGGGGATGGAGGAGGAGAGGTAGAGGGAGGAGGAGGGGAGGGAAGTGAGGGTGGGGGAGTGGGAGGGTCGGGAGAAGGGGGAGGGGAGGTAGGGGGTGGTTTTGGTGGGGAAGGTACAGGGGATGGTGGTGGTGACGGTGATGGTATTGGTGGTGGTGGTGAGTCTGGTGGTGGGGGTTGAGGGGAGGAGGGAGGTGGCACTGGTGGTGGTGGTGGTACTGGTGGTGGTTTGGGTGGTTGGATTCCCTTAGTCCGTCTAGCAAGGGTAAATTCCCCTAATCTGGAAGTCCGGCAGGTGAAATTCCTCGTGCCCTCGGGCTCAGAAGGAGACGGAGGCAGCTCCAGGGTAACTACCCCTCGAGTAATGGGTAACCCTTTCGAACTGATCCGAACGCAAGCGAACCGCTCCCACAACGAAAAGGGCGGCAGATACGAATTCCTCGACACCAGATTAATCGTAATCTTATCCGATTTTATCCCCCCAGAAGCAGCTTTTCTCGGGACCCGGACACGCAACGGGGCAGAAATCTTAAGCCCTTCGCTCGTCGAATACGCGTACATTTCGAGCCCGACCAAATCGCACGGGTAAGTGTACCTTGGCGGTGGAGTAAACGGGTTACTGTAGTTGGGATAATTAAAATAAATTATCACCACGAGCGGCAGGGAAGTCGGAATTGAAAGCCCTGAAGGGAGCGAAAACTCCTGGAATTGCAACCCTCGTGCTACCACCACGGCTACGGGGAGAATGATGAGTTGAACCGATGAGTTAGTGGCAGGAGTGGGAGGGAGGGTGACGATGGTTCCCACTGTGCTGTTACTGATCTGCTCCTCGGCTATTTTCTGTATCATTTTTGTGTAAATATCCATTCTTGTCCTCCATATAAGCTCTTGTCCTACTAATGTGTCTTCGTCAGTGGTGCTGCCACTGGTGCTGTTACTGCCGCTGCTGCTGCTGCTGCTACTGTTACCGCTGCTGGTGGTACTGTTGTCACTGCTACTACTACTGCTGTTACTGCCACTGCTGCTGGTGCTGTTACTGTCGCTCCCAATTAAACCCCCTCCTCCTCCCATTCCACCCGCCTTGAGTTGCCCTGCCCGTTTCACAATTTCCTCCCTCAGGCTGTCTATCTCGTGCTGACTGGCAATACTTGCAGTGCCAACGCTATTGCCAGTGCTGCTGCTGCTGCTGCTGCTGCTGCTACTGCCACCGTTATTGCCACTTGAAGTTAAATCTCCCAGCCCGGTCCCACCTGTCCGACCCACAATCTCCTCCCTCCTACTGTCTATCTCCTGCTCACTCGCAACACTCGCAGTGCCACCGCTGCTGCTGCTACTGTCACTGCCAGGACCAATCGCAGTGTCAATACCCATTCTCATGTCACTCCTCGTGCCGGAGTCAGTACTCGTTATAAGGCCGTTAATGTGCGGGTGGAAGGGGCGTGTGGCCAGATACACTGAACTTGGAGCTTCTTTTCCAAGATCTTCCTGGTTACTGGCAATATCAGTTCCCCTTAACGCCATGCCGTTGAAATGCGGGTGGAAGGGGCGTGTGGCCAGATACACTGAACTTGGGAACCGGTGCAGGTGCGGTGATACTGACTCCAGTATGGTTTCCGAGCCTGACAGTCCGGCCGAGCCTGGTGACACCACCGAGCCTAGATGTTGGTTCGGTACGGGATCACGTGGGCTTGATTCCGTGGCATGAGGCATGGTGTGTGGGGCAGAGGTGGTGGTGGTACTGCTGCTACTGCTGCTGCTGGTGGTTCTGCTGGGGTTGATGGGGTTGCTGCTGGTAGTGCTGCTGCTGCTGCTGGTGCTGCTGCTGGCGGTGCTGCTGGTGAGGCCAGAGGCAGTTGAAGAATCAGAGACAGGCAACAGCCAAGGAGGATAAGCGTGCATGACAACGCTTCTAGCCCCTGCTCCTACCCCTTCTCCTTCTGCTCCTGCTGTTCTTGCTCTCGCTCCTGCCACTGCTCCTGCTTTGGATACTGCTCCTGGTTTAAATACTGCTCCTGCAAAACCCGGCCAGTGCACTCTAGGGGGACCTGAGGGTTTCTGGTAACGAGGAGGAGGATGCGTGTGGTAAGAGTAAGTGAGGGAGTGAGTGTGGGAGTCAATGAGGGAGTGAGCGAGAGAGTGAGTGAGGGAACGAGCGAGGGAGTGAGTGGGTGATTCCGCGTGTGTCACAGGGGAAGTGGGTAACGAACTGAGTAAGAGGAGGAACGGTAGGAGATTGGTAACCCTAAGGGAGAATAGGCTTTTCCTATATGAGGAAAGGGGTCTCCCTTTCTTCCCTGCTTTGTTGCTTCTACTGCTTGTGCTCCAAACCTTCGGGTGGTTACCCCCTTGGTTACCCCTCGAGTCACCCATATGGTTACCCGGTAACCGTCTTCTCCTTTTGAGGCCATTACAACGAGGATGTCGTGTGCTCGTGTCGACCTCTTTCCCGTGACTGCTGCTACAGCCACTGCAACAGCCACAGCTACAGCCGCTACTACAGCCACTGCTGCTACAGCCACTGCTGCTACAGCCACTGCTGCTACAGCAACTGCTGCTACAGCCACTGCTGCTACAGCCACTGCTGCTACAGCCACTGAGGCCGCTGCTGCAACCGCTGCTACAGACACCGCTACAGCCGCTGCTGCAGCCACTGCTGTAACCGCTCCTACAACCGCTGCTACAGCCGCTGTCGCTGCTACAGCCGTCACTACCACTCCTCCAGTGGTTACCCGTCTGTACACCTCGTAACCCTCTTCTCGTGCGACAACTGTGATGACACAATCCCGCTGTACTGTTATGGCTGCTGAGGCGGCTGTTGTTGTAACTGGTGCCGTTACATGTGCCGTTACAACTGCAGTTACCATTGCCGTTACAACTGTGAATGGTGGGGCTGGATCTGTAACTGCGGCTGCAACGACAGCTACAATGCTCCACGCTACCGCCGCTGCATCCTGTGACGTCACTGCTACAATCGCTGCTGCATTCTGTGACGTCCCTGCTACAGCCGCTGCTGCATTCTGTGACTTCTCTGCTACAGACGCTGTTGCATTCGATGCCGTCTCTGCTACAACCGCAACTGTTACACGAGCTACAAATCCCCATGCTACAGCCGCTACAGTCACTACTCGAATGCGAGCTACAGTTTCGCGAAACTTCCCCGTTGAGGCCATTCGACTTCGAGCTACAGTATCTACAGTGACTTACTGTAGTTGAGCTACAGTGCCTACAGTTACACCATCTATTGCAACATGAAAGGCGACTCTCTCCGTCATGTGCTAACACCGAATCACTATCCCGTTCCATGCAACGAAGCGGGTGCTCTAATAACGAATTGTTTTTGTGCTGCTCCCCCTCATAACCGTCAGACAGATAATTTGCTTTTCCTCCTTTTTCCTTCGCTGCCGTTCCCCCCTGCCCGCCGCCTTTCCGCCAATTCATCCCTCCAGGACCGCCCCGCACGAAATCTCCAC